GATTAAACTGAAAACAGACCCCATGAGCTGTGTTTCTAGGTCTGTTCTCAGTTCTCACACAAATCAGAAACCAGTCAGAGCGTTTTTGATTGGTGCAAATCGCCAACAATTAGAGTTTTCTGACTATTTTCAATATGAAATGCGCTCTGACTGGTTTGTGATTTCGGTGCGAACAGAGTATTACGTTGTCTCTCTGTATTTGCCAGTATTTGATTAATTCGCAAACGAATTTATATTGCGCAATTTGAGGTTAAAATGTGTCGTTACTACGACGTTATCATGCCGGCATGCCATTCAAGTCGCATGAATTTTTCAGGAAACATGTTTTATGTTTGTATCTTGGTTTTTATATAACTCCTACGAGTTCTACCCGGAGAAATATACTTGTAAACCGGATATCGGAGAATTACCTTGAAAATCCGGAGACTTCGGGTCAAAACCGGAGTGTTGGCAACCCTGTTATCAGCTGAGAGAAATACAGGAGGATGATGAAAAATGAATCAAGAAATATCTACATCAGATCCATTGAACAAATTTCTAAATAATAATAACCAGAACTAATATAAAAACACAAGCAAACTAGAAATGGAAATTTGTGATTTGCGAATAAATCTAACCTCAACGTCAGAACAAAAAATTAATAATTCTAAAATCGTCCCAACTACTCCTCACCATAGAGTATGAATATATTGGATCAACATTGGATAGTTCTTGAACTGTCAAAACATCTGAAACAGATTTAACCCGAACATCCATTTTTAGTTCAAAAACATATAGTCCTGAATTTAGTCCCACTTTTATTTTTCCAATAATTTAATTCATATTATTGGACTAAAAGTTTAGAACGAATAAATTAGTGCAAATTATGGATAAATTATGCTCTTGAGTAAAGTGACTCTATTAAACCACAGTGGCGACAATTGTCGTCTTATTTTTGACTGGTTATTCAAAATCCTATGTATTCATATGGAAAACCCGCCATTTTGTGCCCTACCTCTTGCTACTTTTAAATATGAATATCCGGTATTTAACTGAATATATTTTCGTATATTGAAATGGTGCAGATTACAATAACAAATGGGGGTCCACGTATGTGGTACCATCAAGGCCAGTCATTGAACATTTAAATATAGACCAATCAATATCATGACAATATTCATATTTAAAAGTAGCAAGAAGTAGGGCACAGAATGGCGGCGGAACCTCAATTCAAAGTCTGTCGCCACTGTTTGTGAAGGTTTATTTAGTAACTGTACCCTTGAGAACTTGACGCTGCAATCTAGCGAGAAGAATTCGCAAAATTAATTAAAACAACATAATAGCACTGATTGACGCTGCTGCCTCTAGCGAGAAAAAATCTGAGAAATTACCCCATACAAAAAAATCTTTATGGTCCTAGGAACCAAATGGATAATTTCTGTCTAAAGTGTTGACGACAATATAGCTATTGAATTATGGACCGCTTTAAGATGAAGAATATTTTTTTACATAATGGACAAGAAGAGAATTAAGGAGTTGTCAGGTTGGTCATATCGAAAAAGATATGTTTTATTTTACCGAATCAATCAATATTTTCGGAAAATGAAAAAAAGTTGATAAGAACTTTATTTTAGAACGTCCCTGGATCGTCAGAAAATTTGCTGCTGTTCATTATGATAGTGGCGCCCTACAGGAGATACGTATAAAACTAAAGTTTTGATTTGAATTTTCTTGTATAGACCAATAAATAGCGACAGTGTTCGATTTCTTTCAAAGAAATCAATACTTCAAGTTTCCTTCTGGTATTTCTATTCAGTTATAGATGGCGGTTGTCCTAGACGAAGTGGTTGTTTTTTTTTTTCGCAAATGGAATCATTTGGCTCTGGATCATCATTCCGCTTTAAACAAAACGACTCAGAATAATATAGTAAGTGAGCAGTGCTGTCCGAATTCAGAAGTTTTGCGTATCCTAAAAGTTTGACAAAAAAAAAAATAGAGCCTAAAAAGTGAACAATTATTCATAAACGCCAGAGATTTTTTTGTAAGCCAGAACCTTATCGTGTATATTTTGATGTCTTTCGGATTTCTAGATGTGCTAGATGTCGACGTTCATTAGAGAAAGCAAAAAGCAATAGACGCTTTCTTGAGCATCAGAATGAGCAGTACCAAAAGAGGTGTCGCGCAGATCTGTGGGAATCTACTCCGTGTTTCATATTTTGACAGGGACTCCGGCTAAGTCAGCAGATTCATGATTCTCCAGAAGGTTGATAGCTCTTTCGACCTTTTGATGGGGAGGATCGTCACAGATTCTTCTGAGTGGGTTTTCGACAGACTTTGTTGAAGACTTCATCATTCACGTGGAAATATCTGTTTTTGAGATTCTGAAAATGCTCCTTTCGTTTTAAATAATAGGCCAGTGTTTTGTTTTTTTTTTTTTTTCAAGGCGGCGTTAATGACAGAAATCCAGCTTTCGAATCTGCCAATTCTATTGGTTGTTTTTTTTTTTTAAAAATTCGTCTGCAAAAAGAAAAAATCTACAATCTGAATATTTTAGTTTTTCGATTTTTCGCGTTTTTCTCAAAATGGAAGATAATTTATGTGTATGTGGTTGCGTGTTTCCCAGGTAGGTAAATAATGGGGTTACGCAAAAAAAAAAAATCGAAAACGCATAAATTCGAATTGTAGATAAACGATCAAAGATTGTTTATGCAAAATTTGAGCTAATTCTGATGGGAGGTTTTCTTTTCTCTTTGCAGACGAATTTAAAAAAAAATATCCAATCAGAGCAGAGAACATACATTTTTTTTCAATAGTTTTGTAGGTGGTTTCAAATTAACCGCAATCCGCTACACTTGTAAAAGTGCTCCAAAATTGACCTATTTTTGGGTGCAAGAATCTTCCTTAATTGCAGAAATTTCGACTAACCTTGCGTTCAGTATTTTGCTCAAAAAGTAGAGCGTTCTGAGCGGAGCCGTAATCACGTGACCAGCGAGCGAACAGAGCAGTTGAACGCTGTATCCGAGTGCCCGAAATTTTAATAAATGAACGCGAATGAGCCTGCACAGAGTACACTTTTTAAAATTAACGAACGGTAAATTCAAGCTCAGAGAACTCAGATCAAAATACCGAACGCACGGTAAATAGACAATAAGGTTTTTATTAGCAGTTTTTTTCGAAAATTTACGACAACCTGCAAACGTAGCATTTCTGTATCAAAATATGATAACAACCGAGACCCTGAGGGTATATTATGAGTATCGGTAGGTGCTTTAATTTATAATAAGAATCAGTTTATTTATGAGAGTGAAAATTTTGAGAATACTTTCAAAATTAAAAAAACCACTTGACAATGTGGTGGAATATAAAACCAAAGAGAGATTTTCTTCGGTATCCGCGCTCCCGCCAAGCTCTTGTTTTCTCTGAGTTGGTATGCTTTCGCTTATATTACAATGACGAAAGCTAATAAGCTCGAAACCGGTTTGCAATCAGCGCAGGATCCGATGATTGAGATTTCGGGTTATTTCCATTTTCTTCTAGAGCAAAACCACACCTAATTGTGTTACTTGGCCGTGGCAGGAATCAATACAAACCCATCGTATGGATTATTAGCACTTGGTTCGCAGCTTCGATTAAACACTTTTGTTTTACCGAAGAAAATTTTTCTTACACTACACTGTCAAAAAGCTTTCCGATTGAGATAAATTCGAATTTTATCACACCCAAACGGGTCTTTTCTTGTTTTGCATTGTAACACTTCGGAGGAGATGCAGCCATACGATATAATAGGTCTTTCAATTCCTATGTTATCGTTGGCATGTCCTGTCAGCCTGTTTTTTTTTTTTAGTTGGTGCCCTTTTGCTTATATTGCACCGATGAGAGGTAATACGCTCGAAACCAATATGCAATTAGCGCAGCATTCAATGATTGAGAATTCTGGTTCTCTTCATTGTCTTTTATGTAATCTGGCTGTGACCAGAATCAATGCAAGCTCATCGTAGGAGTAGCTGGTTTAGAGCTTCGATTGAACAATTGTGTTTTTTTTTCCGGAGAAAATCTCCCTTTGGTTTTATTCAAGAACCTTTTTCATAATCAACTATGGAATAAACCGACGTCAGCATGTAGAAACTAAATTGAAAACTAATTTTGAGAGTAGCGGTTATACATCAGTCATATATCAGTAAGTTAACCGCCGTAGATGTTTTTTTTTTTTTAAATTTAAGCTATCATTGACCATTCAGTAATCATGAAAAAAAAATAACGTTAATTTCGTTTTGGCCAAACCGCCAAACAGCAGTTTTCTGTGTTAAGGACTTAAATGCAGTCAGCAAACAAAATATTGAAGAGTTTCTATAATCAGCCTTACATTTATTTGACTCGTTGACATTCAGGCGGTCAATATAAAATTTAGAAAGAGTAAACATTAATTTTGCTTAAGTTCAAAAACATTTCTTTGTTTAATTTATTTTTTCTAGCACATACTAGTCGCGTTATTTTAGATATTATGGATAGCGGAGTTCGCGCGAACATGCATATCCACAAGGGATACCGCGGCTGGAATTTCTCCAGGGAATGCATTAATTTTGTGCCGCCTGGCGCGTACTATACTCCAGGGATTCAGGACTCACGAGCGGGATCCGGCTATCTCCCGGGAATAGCTTCTATGTCGAACCTCATTTTCCTTTTATATTTTTCATATTTTTTTCTATGTAATTCTATCTTGAGTAGAATATGTATACTGAATATGAAAGCGTTAAAAATATTATTGTGTTGTCAGGTTCTGAAAATTAGGAATACTTTACAAAAGCGTCATTATGGTGCATAATATCTCAACACGTTTTGTATTCTTGACATTTGTCATAAATGTTGTTTTGCTTTATTTGGTATCTAATTCTTCAATAGAAATAGGACTACTTGGAACAGTTTCCTAGTAATTTGTATGGCTCAAAATTATAGCTTTTTATCTTTAAAATCACTTTAGAAGTAGTTTTATAGGTTTCTAAAGAAACTAAAACTATAGTCAATTATAACATACATTTATTCAAAAACATTTTACAATAAAAGCTATAGATATATAGATTAGTCTATAACAGTCTCCAACAATGCATGATTTGGAAAAATACCTGTCCATATTTTTTTTTTTACAAAACCTCATAGCCAATAACAGTAAGTGGATACAGTATAAGTGCATTTGAAACAATACAGAAAAAAATTGAAATATAATATACATTAGTTATTAGTTAAGTACTTACATAATAATCTGAAATAACAACAAAAAACAAAATGTACAAAAACTCGGCCAGAATATAACCAAAATTTAATGATAGAAAACATTCCACAATATAATAATAGAAAACCTTTCACATTATAATAATCAATTTGTTCCAATAATCCAACTAATATTTGTTCAACATACGTGAAGTTAACAAAGAATTTGCAACATAGAAAAGTAACCTTGTAAATTTGTAGCACCGATTTTTAGGCGTTAAATTATTTGTGACACAAACCACAATTAAATTTTTATAATAAGTGTTTAGTAGGTATCTACTAACTGAATATTTATTAAAAAATATTTAAATTGAACTTAATGAGATTCGCTTGTGGATATTTCCCTAGCAACCCAAGCATTGGTAAAGTGCCGGGCCTGCGATATTGATTCGTCACTCAAGCAGTCAAATTGCAATTTAAAACTGTGTAAATATTTATGATTATCCAGTTCAGCTCTAAAAAGGAAACCTGCGGAACACACGGAACATTGATAAGGTTTTTCAGCCAGATTATGATTTGAAAGATGACTTTGGAGACCAGCAGCTCCTGTAAATACGGAAGAACAAATGTAACAACTGAATTGGTTTATTCCAAAGAAGTTATGCTCTATTAAGTGAACTTGAAGCTGTCCTTTGTCGGAAAATGATTTTTTGCATAGATGACATTGAAGTTCTAAAGTTGCATCTAGAGTACCTCTAAAATCCGTTGTCGATGTTTCACTATTCGACGGAACGATTTCTTCGGGAAAAGGTGACTTGCATGTTTTACTTCTTGTTTGTTCGGACAAGAATTTTAAATGAAATTTAGCATGTAATTCAATTTCTTTGTCGCTTTGCAATGTTTGGCCACAAACTATGCAAATCGAAGGCAAGATTAAATTGAGTTTGGCAGTTGACTTCGAATTATCGCTATGCTTAAGTTGATGTTTCACAAATGACTCTTCATCTAATATTATTGTTTTGCAAGGCACACACATGTTACTCTCAATAATCTTGCAATGGCTCAGTTTGTGATTTGCTAATTCAGGAGAAGATGTAAATGTTTCATCACAAATGTTGCATTTATGTCGGGATTTTTCTGATATTTGATGAGTTCTCAAATGAAGTTGTAAGTCGTTTTTTGATGCACGGTATTCCTTGCAGTAGGCACAACGATAATTTGTTGCTGCTGGAAAATAATTCTAATCAGAATTTAATTTGAAAAAAAAAAAAAACTTCATATACTACACAAAGTTTATGCACGTAGTTGCGAATCATGAAATACAAATTTATATCTCCGCAATTTGTATTTTATGATTCTAAACTTTAATATAAAGTAAGCTTTACTTGGCACGACTGAAGAGTTTTTGACGTAATTATTCAAATATTCATCTCTTATGGACGCCCCATTTCCCTCCAATGAAATTCTTGGCCCCTCCTGCCAATTATCTACAGTTTTATTTATAGAATGATGTTTGGAAAGATGTAGCTCAGCAGAAATTCTATCGTGAAAAAGTTTAGGTCCTTCAGCGCAATTGCTGCATTCAAAATGTTCACGATTGCTTGCGTGATTTTTTATTAAGTGAGCCTGAAAGATAATTTAAATAGGTGGAAAAATATGAATAAAAATGCTTTCTTTTATTCTCCGATGGATACTGGTGAATAATTGGGGGTTCACTTACTGGTTTTTGAAATACCGTTTAATGAATTTCTGCTTTTGTGTGTGATGGTTGCCAAAAATGTCCCAATTGTTGGCAAAAATAACTTTGCCTGGGACTCTGAGGGTATTAAGCAAGATTTTAAAGTATAATGCATGGCTAACATGAGATTTTTGGACTCTATGGATTTTGCCAATTTTTTATATATTATCGTAAGTATGTAGAGGATTTAATTCTCAGCAACCTTCAAGGGGGCGGTAAGTTAATGACAGAACTTCAGATTTCACATCTGTCAGTCCTGTGCTCCGATTGGTTCAAATTTGGCATAAATATTTTATGATCGATTATCTACAATCCGAATATTTTAGTTTTCCAATTTTTCTTGCGTAACCTCATTATTTCTTAAACCCTGGAAAATAAACGACCAGATATACAGGGTGTCCCAAAAAGATACCGACAAACTTTAAGGGGTAGTAGGGGACATCAAAACCAGCATTTTTGTTTATATAAACATATGTCCGCAAATGAGCCATTTAGGCTGTAGAGCCAAAAAACTGTTTAGAATCTAGTTTTATTCTTCGCAATAATTAAGTCACTGTTTACTTATTAATTTTGCTTTAATAGCAAATAAATTATGGTTTACAATAAAGGTTCAACTCGCGAACTCTTTGGAATAATCCGGAAATAGCTTTTACATGGGTACAACTCGCCAGTATCCTTGCTATCAGATCTTCCTCATTACGAACAGGTGTTTCGTAGACTAAACTTTTCAGTCAATGACCCGACGGTGTAATCTTTGCATTGAAGTAAATGGTCAACATTTTGAACAATTATTGTAAAGCATAATTTATTTGATAATAAAGCAAAATTAATAAGTAAACAGTGATTTAATTATTGCGAAGAATAAAAGTATCAAACAGCTTTTTTGCTCTACACCCCAAAGGGCTCATTTGCGGACATATGTTTATATAAACAAAAATGCTTGTTTTGATGTCCCCTACTACCCCTTAAAGTTTGTCGGTATCTTTTTGGGACACCCTGTATACACATACATTATTTTTCATTCGAATTGTAGATAATCGATCAAAGAATATTCATCCCAAATTTGAGAATTCTGATGAGGTTTTTCGCAGATGAATTTTAAAAAATCAATCAGAGCACAAAACTGACAGATTTGAAATCTGAAGTTTTGTCATTAACGCCCCCTTAAATGGGATCCAATCTTCCTGAAAAATATACTGATGCACGGTTGTCAGTTAAATTGAATGTGGTCACTATGATGTTAAAATCCGTTCGGAGTCATGCTAAACGGAACATATGATGCAGAGCTCTATCCAGGGCAGTTTGATTTGTTTCGTACTGATCGTTCATCAACTGAGGATCTCAGAACTTGGGATGGAGAAGTTCTGATTGCTGCTAGAAAGGAATTGATGTTACAACTGTTGAACAGGACAGGTTTATGTAAGTTTTGGAAGTAAGTCATTTGAATTGTGCTGTATCTACCTACCACCTAAGTCTGATGTAAGCTTGTTTGTTGATGTATGTCAATCAATCGATGTATCCTAAGAGTTGGCGATTTCAATTTACCACAAGTTAAATGGGTTAATAATGAGTTTGATCTAACCAGCAAGTGTGGGGAATTCTCCGGCTAATAATTTGATAGAGTGTCTAAATTATTACAATTTTCGTCAAGTAAACACTATCACGAATAGCACTAATAGCAGGAATCGAGGCAGGAATGCTTTGCTTGACTTGGTGTTTTCAAACTTAAGCACGGTTGAGATTGATAGAGCAACCGATATGATTTTGAGTTATAGTGATCACCACATAGCTATATCTATGAGATTCAGCCATAATGTAGAATGCAAACCTTTTAAATATGAGAAGTGCTTTTTTGATTTTAAAAATGGCAATTACATTTCATTGAATGTATTTGGCCGGTGTTAATTGGTGTTTAATGAATGATTTGACCCTGTACAGGCTGCTCTATGGTTTCATGAAACATTGTAGGAGGGAATAACTTTATATGCAGTGTTTACTCGAGCCGTACCACTAATCAGACTCCGGAATATCTACTCATTTTCTAACGTCACTGATATTTCTGGATACTCCGTTTCTTGTGCAGATATTATAGAGCAATTAAAAAATTCACCTGATAGGTTCTCACGTGGGCCGGATGGAATTCCCTTGTTGCCTGTACACCCTTGAGACGCCCCTGGCAAATCTCTCCAACCATTCATTGTCGACAGGTTCTCACCCGGTTTTGTAGAAGTTCAGCTTTTTGAAACCAATATTTAAAAGTGGTTCAAGAGAAGAGCTCACAAATGACAGGGATGTTGGCACGCAGTCTGACATTCCTAAGTTGCTTCTCATTACAAGGAAACTTAGCTGGGACTGTAGGTACATTTTCAAACCGGAACAGCATGGATTTACGGTGGGTAGGTCGACATCAACAAATTTGGTTTTTTATTAGAATTTTATTTTGATCAGAAGCCTTTGACAGGGTTAAACATCGCTTGCTCATCAGGAAGCTTGGTTGTTGGGGGGTGAGAGCTCCAATTCTGAGGTGGCTTACTGACTTTCTTGTTGGGAGAACTCAGACCGTCAGTTATGGCGGTATTGTGTTTCGTGTTTTTGATGTTTTTTTCTGGCGTACCCCAGGGGTCTCACTGTGGGCCGATCCTGTTCAATCTGTTCATATACAATGTGGGTAGTTCCATTTTACACAGCTCATTTTTGTCATCTTAAACTTTATCGTCAGGTATCATCGTTGGAAGACTCAAAACTGCTGCAAGATGATATCGATTCTTTTGAAAAATGGTGGGGCTCGAACGAAATGGACCTCAATATTGTCAAATGTTATAAAATAACTTTTTCTAGGCTAGCCCAAACAATGAAATTCCCTTACACAATTAATAACTATTCAATCAGGAAAGCAGCAAGCATTCGAGATTTGGGAGTGGAACTTGACTCCAAGACGTCATTTAATGGCCATATTGCCAATACTGTGTCAAGGGCTGTTAGATGATTGGGCTTTATATGTAGATCCATTACAGAATAGACTTCTCAGGGTGGCTCCTCACAGATTGGGCTTGGCTCATGATGAGTATACTTATGATGGGATGAGGGCTTTCTTGAGTGTTCATACCTTGCAAAGCAGAGAGACTTCAGGCGGATCTATCTTTCCTTTACAAACTTCTGAGAGGGTTAATTGACTGCCAGATCTTTTGGGTCTCGTCTCTTGGAGAGCAGGAGAAAAAAGGGTGAGAGGTTCTGACCTGTTTTATGTACCATTCCATAATACTAATTATGGTATGAATGAGTCGATCTCAAGGGTGCTCAGGTTTAGCAACTCAAGGAGCCGGAGTATTAACATCTTTGGTTGTCCTTTTGTTGTTGTTGAGAAGGTTGTTAGGAATGAAATCGTCTACGACATATCAAAAAATTGGCAAAATTCATAGCTGCTTTTTTATTCGTTTCCTAAACTAAAATAATTGATGTGCTGTTTTTCTTCTTGTAACAAAAGTTCCAGTTTTAAGATTTTTTTTTTCAAACTGCGACTGCAAATTATATGCGCACGTTTTTATTTAAAAATGCGATGAGTTTCCCAATTTTAGACATCACGGAAAAAGCTGTGTACTGATTATAGAAATAATGCCAAAACTGGAGAACGAAAGAAAGCACCTTAACATCAGTAACCTACCTTCATAATAAGGAAATCTTCAAAAGTTTGTTCACATAATGAGCACTTATAGAAAGTCATCACATGATGTTCTACCAAATGTTCTTGCAACTTTTCAGAATCTTCAAAAAACTTATTACAATGACAGCAACATAAATAATTATTTAAAGGTAGCATAAAATTTTCTCTCGTATCTTCGTCACAATGATTACCAGTCTTAGTTTTAAGTGAAGCAACATGAGTTTCCATATGAATTAGAAAGCTTTTGAAATTTGGCAAACGTTCGTAACAACAAGAACAGATAAAAGTTTCTTGAGAATTTAGAGAGGGTATGTAGTGGTGCTTCTCTTTTTCTGAACTATTTTCTTTGAGGCGTTTTCTCTCATTTGCTTTCTTCTTTTCGATTTGGGTTTCTGTTTCAGAAAATATTTCTTGAGTAGGTGAGTCATTTTTAAAATCAAATTTCTAGAAAAAAGATTAAGTTGGTTTCCGTATTAGATGAGAGTATTATTAAAATTGCAAACATATTTCTAGGAATGGAGATTTTGTATGTCGTTTTCATTTTTGCTAAACTATTTATCGTTCACACAGCACCCAACCCTATGATTAATTATATGCCTACCTGTTTTTCTCCCAAAGTCTTGTGACAAGTTTGAATGTGTTCATTCATCATTTCTGTGCTAGAGAACAATTGGAAACAGAAGACGCAAATAGTTTTAATTTCAGCATTATCGTCACTATCAATTTCTTGTAGATTCTGCCATACCATGGAGGGTTTCTAAACAAAATTTGCTTTTAGCTATGTGATAAATTTATACCAATATATGAAAAATTCTACCTGCATTATTTCAGAATTCTCACTTTCTTCAGATCCCGATAAGATTTTCGAATAAATATCCGAACAATTACTTTTCATACCATCATGTTTATGGCTTTTTTCATGGAAAATAAAAGCGCTTACTGTGTTATATCCCTTATTACATATCTGACATTTATATTGTTTTTTGACTTCATGAGTTCTCGTATGAATTTTCAAATGATCGCTTCTAGCAAAAGCTGATTCACATTGTATGCATTTATACTTTTTGTCGCCCGTATGTAGCTTAATATGACGATCTCTTGAGCGTTTGTGTTTAAATTGCCTTGGACAATATGGACATGAAAACTGAAGGCGATTTGTTTCTACGCCCTAGGACGGATAATCATGAGAAATTTATAACAAAATTAATATATACCTTACATTATATTCACTGAAATTGGATTTTAAAATATCATCGCTATCATTGAAACTTTTTGTAGTCTCGTCCCAATCTTTTTCCTCTTCAGTATCAGAGAAGCATTGAGACTTTGGTGAATCAGGGTTTAATTCTGGCAAATTATCGGTACTGTTAGGCCGTAGATCAGAAATCGTGCTTCCGGAATGTTCAGAATCTAAAAAAAAAAATAGAATTATTGTGCATCTTATCAAAAAATATTTATACAGACTATAATATTGACGATTTTTTCCTAAAGCTTCATTTGTTGAATAGTCAGTATTTTGACCATTAAAAAATTTTGATTCGTGCTCCGAATTTCAACCCACAAGATTTTTACCGTAAGCAACAATCTATATACTTTTTTCAATCGGAGAAATTTGATTTAAATTTGGCGAATTTTGATAGTGTATTACATACCGGAATATTTATTCATAAATTCTTAAATTATTAATGTATGTATTTATTATATTTACCCACCTTGACAAGAGCTCTCTTTATTTGAATGGATCTTCTCAATGAGCATCTCTAAACGTGTACTATGACCTTTAAACAACATTTTCATTTTTTTTGGAACTTATGATTATCACACTGACCATCAGTGATTTTTTTCACGTGACACTCGCGACGGCAGAGAGCGCCACAGTGCGCTCTACCCGATCTCTAAAATGTAACTGTCGTCATATCTGAACATCGCGAGTTGATGGCCCTTGCCACCGTATTTTCTTTCTCTATTTTCTGGTCCTTCGCTTTGGTTTTGTTCAGTCGAAACAAAGGAGCCCTTATCAATTTTATTTTTTAAATTAATAAAAAATTACATTTTTAATCAGGAAAATAAATACGTTATTAATGATGGCTGCGACTTATTTAAGAACCGAGTAAGATTATCATCAATATTGAACAATAATTTTATTTTTGTATTTACCGCGTACTAAAAACATGTTTGGTTATTTCTAAAAGATAATCTAATCTTAAAGCAATTTTGCAAATTTTCACTCGAGAACCAAAATTAAATTTATCATAATATGAGTATCATGCAATAACAAGTTATGCATTTTAAGCCGAACGCTTTCTGTAAATTTCAATTACAAGTTACGTATTTACATACTCACAATCTAGACGACCACTTTATCTGAACAGGATGACGAATTAATTTAATTAAACTGAAAAGGGTTAGCTAACACTTATACACTTATAATAATCATGAGTGACTGAATATGCAGGAATTTTTAGTTCTATGTTGCCTAACCGGAAAACAAAATCATTTTAAAATCGCAAATGTATGTACCTATTGGTTTAAATGAAACATCTCATAGCCAACAACACGGGCGAGAAGCAAAACAAAAGTTAATTTTAAGATTTTCCGTTTCAATTCAACAACAGCGGATGGCATCGAAATGGCAAATGCGGATTCCGTATGTATGAACAAAACAGAAGTGCCGTTTTGTTACAATTCCAGTATCTAAGGGCCCATTCGGCTACGGCTTCGTAACAATAACTGGTCCCTCTTGGACCTTGGATAGCCACATGACTCTAAAATAAACATTATATCCGGCCGTGTTCGACATATAACGGAAAAAATTCTTTGAGTTTAAATCGGAATATTATGTCGTTTCGTTTCAATAGGCCTTGACAATATTTCATCTAAATTGCAATGGAACAATAACTTGTGAGGGTGGGTCAAGTATTGAGAATAATTGTCTTGATGGATTTTTTTAAAGAGAAATTTGTTAGGTAGGACTTCTACTAAGTAATGCGAAACAGTACCGTTACTCAGCGTCTTCTTTATCCTCGTGATCAACTCAAGTGTTTTTGCTAGAACACTTCTTATAATTATTATTTATCCCACAAGGAACAGCTTCGTGTCACGTTTTACCTCTAAAGAATTAGCTTTATTAATAACTAGCTCACAAAGATAATCTATTATCTATAAATTGCAATATACCTTGCAGCTTTTTGATATCCAGATCATAGAACATATAATGAACTTTAATTAATCAAAAATTAAAATACTTGTCGCCAGGAGTAGGTATACATGAAATGTTATCAGTTTATCCTGCAAACATATCTTAAATGTCTAACAATATATCAGGTATATTGAAATTCTTTGCTAAAGGAGCAAATCCTTTATTTTAATTATCTACACCAATTGTATTTCGGAGAAGTGAGGGGGTAAAAAGGGGTGGAAAATGTAGGGGTGGGTGTTGGGCAACGGCGTAGGGGGGCCGAAGAGGCGGCGTGGCGAAGGGAAAATCGAGTCAAGGCAGACGCTTTGCGATTCAACTTGGTGCCGAGAGAATCAGGAGCTGCTCGCCGGGGAATTCCCAAGCAATCTCAGTGTTTAGTTCCCGTGGGGCAAGACTCAATTAAACTTTAAGATGATATGCAAGCGCCACCTCCCATAGTTCACCTCGAGGGAGAGCAAGCATCCTCCTTCGCCCATTTTATATACATGATCTCCAAGGGAACGATATTATTATCGCGAGGTAAAACTTTCAGGTCACACGAATATTAGGAGATGAATACTAACAAATTCAATAAAATTGTGGAAGGATGTACAAAAACTATTGCATAGTAGGCTAGTAAAAGAAGAATATTTGTAAGTGGCTTAATAACCCACACGTTTCGGTTAGCTTATGGTCTACAAATTTCAGCGTTTCACATTTAGGTATGTACTGAATTTTTAACAAATATTAATCAGTTTTATTCTACATGCGCGGAAGTATACATAACTTTTTTCATAATTGGTACATGAGTTGAATCAAAGGAGATTGTTTGAAAATATCCTTAGAAAAACACAAGTGTTCACCCCAAAGCTCCAACACACTGCTAATTACTCATACGATGAGTTTGTATTGTTCTAATGTCCTGACAAGGTGAAATTTAGGCAATACGTGCAGTTTTGAGTTACAATACAATTGAGAAACCCGAATTCTAAATTATTGGGTACTGCCGCTAATTGGGACCGGTTTCGAGCTTGTTATGCACTCGTCAGTGCAGTATAAACATGTTTCTCTGATTTGGCGTGCATTTGCTTATATTGCACTGATGAGTGCATAACAAGCTCGAAACCGGTCTGCAATTAGCGCTAGCACTCAGTAATTGGGATTTCGGATTTCTCCATTGTCTTATAAAGCAAAACCGCACCTATTGCGTAAATTTGACCGGTTCAGAGCATTAGAACAATACAAACTCATCGTATCAGTAACTAGCCGTGTTATTGTCAAAGATATTTTCCAAAAACTTTCTTGAATGTAAATTTGATGAGTACATAATACAGGGTTAATAAAAAGTACTGCAACGCTTAAATATCTTCAAAACCGCTTGAGCCGCGTTCACACAATTCGGAATCTGACAGTTTTTTGACAGGCGGAATTGAACAGTGCTATCGGCAATGTTGCCAGATTTTCCAGTTTGGCGCTACACGTAGTCTTTTTGTTGTCTTTGTTGCCAAATTTGATAAGATTACAAATTTTCAGAATTCTATCTCTTATAGTTGCTGAAATATGCCAACGCCGCATTTTCAGTAGAAGGTATTGCAACGCTTGAATATTTTTAAAACCCGCTTAAGCTTGTTTACTAAATTCAATATCCGGGGATTTTCGGGCAAGCAAAATTCAACTGTGATATCGGCATTGTTGCCAGATCTCCCAGTTATGCGTTCCGCGTAGTCTTGTTGTCATCCTAAATAGAATGTTACATTTATTTTTATTACAATGAATTGGGCTTCCCAATTTAAATAGGATTCTAAATTTTCAGAACTCTATCTCCACTAGTTTCTGAAATATGACTACACCGTATTCAGTAAAAAGTATCGCAACGCTTGAATATGTAAAACCTGCTTGAGCTAAACGGGACATTTCCTTTAAGATAAAAAGACTACGCGTACTACGAAATTCGGCAAAAATGCCGATATCACTGTTGAATTTCGCTTGTCCTAAAACCCAGTGCGGTGTTGGCATAATTCAGCATCTAGTAGAGATAGAATAATGAAAATTTGGAATCCAATCAATCACGCCCAATTCATTGCAATAAAAATAAATGGGACATTCTATTTAAGATAACAAAGAGACTACGTGTAGCGCAAAACTGGGAAATCTGACAACCTTGCCGATAACACTGTTCAATTCAAAATTATCCATTATCAGAGAAAACTGAAATTTAGTTTTTTGCTCGTTTTTTTCTTAATTTTAATTACAGTGTGATTGAATACAAATTTGCATTTCTAGACACGTGATATGAGACGTAAGCGTTTCGTTCACGTACCTAATCTGATGCCAAAGTTGGAAACGCTTATGAGAGACGGTCAGAAAACTAAATTTCTCCTGCGTGCTTATTTCTTTGTTTCTGTGACACAAAATAAAGGATTCAGGTAGATAGTTGTATCTATAGGAGATAATTTGCTCTATAGACTCTAGTAGATATAAACTAGGAACGACCATCAGGGATGTAAATACGTTGAGTGAGAACAATCAAGAGTATGAAAAACTTAAGTAGACTTAAAGACTAAAGAACAAAAAACCAAAGAATTAATGACATTGATCTAGAAGAACTAAATAACGTAATAAAACAAACCAAAAACGCCAAAGTCGCTAGCGATGATACAGTCCTCCATGATAGAAGGACCAATACTAGAGAAATCGCAAAACGCCATATTTAAGTATTGATATATGCAAGGAAGGAGAACCCAACGAACAATTATAGACCGATTAGTTTTCTCTCACAGATCTATAAATTGTTCATGGGAATAATAACTAATAATTATTCGACTAAATTTGGCACCACAAAACACTCTCGCACACAGGTGAAATAACGCTAAAAAAGGCAAATGAAATTAATAGGTACCTAGCTAGGAGGTTTTACTATGTTTCTCTATGAATGACTTTTGACACTGTGGACCTCTTGTCAAGTCCTGGAAAAATGGAGCATTCAACTACTGATAAGAATTACAAACATTATCAAGCAAAAATGTGAGGCCGCAAGCAAATATTTGATAATAAAAGTAAGTTTTAGGTAGAAGTTAATAGGACGCAGATTAGAAAAAATTATTTAAAACTTTCATTATGATGCAGGTACCCTGAAGCTTTCTGAAAAACCATCAGATAGATTTTGCAATTAATAATTAAATGGAAGGGCGTAGATACTTGCAAATTTTTGGAGTCAAATAATGGAAAGTAG